ACCCCCCCCCCCCCCCCCCCCCCCCCGCGCGCGCCTCTGATTCCAATCTGTAGGGCACGGGGAGGTGGCCGGAAAGGATATCCGGCGGCCCCGAGGGGCGCTTTCACCCACCAGAGCTCAGGGAAACCACGTGTGCCGTGGCACTCAAGTGGCTCTTGACTCAGGGGGTCAGCGGCTGCGACAGCGTCGCTCATGGGGGGGTGGGAGTGGGCAGTGGCGAAGTGGGGGAGCAGCAGGCCGAAGCGGTGGAGCGCGCTTTGGAGTACCGAAAGTGCGGTCGGGAATTGTTCACGAGGCTCTTGGCATCGGGTGAGGAACAGGGGTTTGGGGTTTCTGGTGATGGCAGTGGGGTGGTGCTGTTGCTGTTGAAGTGGTCATCTCGATGTTGAAAACCACCTCTGTATAGTCCGTCCGGTGAAGTAGTGCCACCACCGGACCCCCACTTTTTCTCGCTCAATTTCCAGAGTGTCAACACGCGAAACAAAGTTGACACGAACCGCAGGGTCGAAAGGCATCGAAATCCGGTGCCAAAAAAATATCGGGGAAAATGGCTATTTTTTGACAAAAATTACCCCGAAATTATCCCGAAAAGGCACATAATTAACCCGAATTGACCATGTAGTTGTCCCGAAGTAGCATGTACTTCGCTCGCCCCGATATTACGAGCTGGATGTCTGTGTTCCTAACCGTACTGACTGCCTGTGCTGTCACCCTCGCCCCGACATCAGTTCTACAACCAAGAACAAGTGCTGTTGCAACAACACACGACGCCTCGGATGTAGCCTCGTTTCGTTCATCTACACCCAAGACACCCACCCCTCTCTCAGCTGTGATATATATATAGATATAATGCCGTATCTACTCGAGTCTATGTATAGTATCTAGCATTCGAAGTACACCGTATGGTTAGACTATATCTTCAATCCACGGCAACGCTGCTGCTCTCAACTCTTCGCTCATGTGGCGATGAGTAATGCGGCCTTGAACTTATTCAACATCTCATCGATATCCTCGTCAGAAGCAAATCTGGCCTCCTTTGCCGAGGCAAGGGCGGCCTACTCTTTGGCCTTGCCCTCCTCCGGGGTTCTCGCTTGGCCACGAGCCAGCAACACGTTGTCGGCCGTATCAGTGGGCGAGCGGTGGTTCGTCCACTTCCTCAGTTCCCGGGTTTGCAAGTAGCCCTCAAGCCCGCAGCTGCAGGCATCGATGTACAGCCAGGACACCCGGGCCCACTTCCGGCACAGTGCCAGAGAGATCGTGCTCAGCGTGATGGGAAGTCTGTCTAGCAGACTCAGGATGGAGTAGGGTATCCCCCAAAGATCATGCCCTCCGACCCCGAACTGCGTTCCTCCAAGCACCGCAGGTCATTTTTTTGCATGTCCTCTTCTCCAAACTACCTGGTGAGCTCCCGTCCGCCTTCCTCACCCCCCTCTATCTCGAAGACCACCATCCCATCGTCGAGTTTTCCCGCGTCCCGTTCGTCCTCTGGAGAGACCGGGCCTGGAGCGCTACTTGGCGGAGGTGGTGCCCACACCTCGAGCAGAGTTCGCAAGCCCTTGCGGTTCTCTTCATCTCGCCGCAATTTTTTACGGCGCCGCGCCTGCCTTTTGCTCTTGCCGTCGCACGTGACATATTCAGGGCTGCTGCTGCCGTGGTCACTGCTGTCACTGCTGTGTTCACTGCTGCTGCTGTTGTCGTCCTCCTCGTCTCCTTGACAACATGTGTCGATGTCATGTTTTGGGGAAGTCTCCGCACCGAGTGGTTGTGGTGGAGGGACGACTTTTGGCCCGAACCGGCCAGCCGTTCTGATTTGAAAGGCGCCGCGCTTCTTGTTTTTTTTTGCCGGAGGGCCGTCCAGCCATGGGTAGGCTTGTCGTGGGCTTTGGTGTGTCCTCGTGGTGCAGGTGGTACTGCTTTATCACGAGGGCTTGGTGTGCCGTGTGTGTCTTGCGTGGTGTGTGCGCACACCGAAACTTTGAGAGGCCACGTCTCGCTCAAAAAAAAATCTGAACAAAAAAAAAAACTTGTCCTGGGTGCAGGTCCACTTCGCCTGAATGCGTTGAGTTTTTCAAATTCTATCGATGCAAAATTCCGAATAAATCCACCTCCTGGAGTCGCCTGAAGAAGATTTTTGGCCCATTTTCCCATAGAAAGTTAGCAAAAACAAATCTGGGTGGGTCGCTAGAAGCTCCTCGGCGTGATACGTTCAAAACCGGTCTGAAAAAAAAAAATAGATCCCACCCTCGACCATGAAAATCCAGGAGATTTTTGCCAAAATCTCGACGGAATCGCGATTTTCTCGCCAACCTAAACAGAGCTTTCTTACGACATAATATATGTCACCAGCGGGTACGTAAGTCGTTCAAAAAATGTTCCGGCTGGATGCTGGGGGATGGTGGCAAAGTTTGACCGGACGGACTCTACATGCAGGGCAAACACTTAGCACCATCGACGTCAGAATACTGTTTATTTATTCTCGTGTAGGGTCAATGGAGAACATGATCCAGAAGAGATCGAGGAGAGTCCCTGCAACTGCGCGCCCTACCAGTGTGAACGCTGTTGCTGTCTCTGCTCTTTGCCCGTTGCTGGCGTTGTTGTGAGGCTGGCGCTTGGTCTTGGGCAGGAGAAGGGTGTCGGCTGTACCGTGTCCGTTTTGTCTTTGCTGGTATGCGGAAGGTGAAAGCACCCTGGGAATCTGGACCTCTTTCCTGCAGCAGTGTGAGACACAACGCGGTGCAAGTCACCATATCACCTTGATACTGTATCCCCCTCGTGGCGTTTGTGTCTCTCGAACTTAGAGTTCGCGGAGCCACAAATCGAAAAGCGTCGCGAAACGTGTGATGTATTACTTCCTTCCACCCGCCACAAGAAAATAAGGAGTGTCGACGATTCTTGTTCCGCCCGTCGATTGCCAGGAGCGCCGTTGAGGTCTGTTCGAGTTATCAAGGCGGCCCTGGGGGGCATCGGAGCGGAGCCGGGTCCGTCTTCCTCGGATTCACCGGAAGGCTCAGAAGATGCACCCATATTCTGGAAGCAGGTACCAACCAATCCATGGCTGCTGCTGCTGTTGCTACTGCTGCTACTGCTGCTGCTGCTGCTGCTGCTGCTGCTGCTGCTGCTGCTGCTGCTGCTGCTGCTTTCTCTTTGTTGGTTTTCGGTTTGGGTCGTAATGTTGGTGTTGATGGTGTTGATTTCGTTTCTTGTTATCGGCTGTTGTTGTTGTCGTTGGTGGTGTTTTTGGTGGAGAAGAGATGCTGCTGCTGCTGCTGCTGCTGCTGCTGCTGCTGCTGCTGTCGTCGTCAGTGGTGGTGGTATGCGTCCATGTTTTTGCTGTTTGTCGTTGGCAGCTATCACTGTCGGTTGTTGACGTTTTTATTATTTAGTGGGGAAGGGAAGGGTGAAGGGTAGTAAAAAGGGCAAAGAGCGATTGGCTTGTTTTGATTTTCTATTGTAGGGTGTTTTGGTCGTTTTGTTTATGGCCGTAGCTCTGCCGTCAGGTTTCGTTGAAGCTGTGTGTCCATATTTGGATGCGTATTCGCAGCCTCTTGTGAGAAGGGGATTCCCACATCCACAGGTTGGAACATTCCGTGGACATGTTTTCGGAGCGTTGATTGTGATGTGTTTCGTTTCGCTGTTGATTTTGCGCTCACTCAACGTTCATCTGCGATGCTAAAGGAGGCGTTGCCTGACCTCGCCTGGGTCGAGTCCAACCAAAGTACCCAGTCGGGTCTTTCGTTTCAGAAATTATCGCAATCTTCTCGTTGGGCCCCAACGCGGAACTTAAGGCTTGTCATCCGGGGAATTGATAGATGTGGGACGAGTTGGTGGCTGCTAACCGCATTGGCGTGGTGTGGTTGTACGCTACGATGCCCCGTATTTTGCTCGTCTTGGTTCGTTTTGCAATAACAGACTATGCCCTTTTGGGGGGACCCCGAGAAGCCGTCGTCCTCGACATCCACGTCGCCCCTGGCCAAAGATTGGAAACCCCTGTCTAGCGACTGGCTGCTCTCATCCCTCCCGGAGGAAGAGGCCGAGCGGGAGGTCGCCGCCCAGGTAACGGTTATCCTAGCCACACGTGGACGATTTCGTTTTTTTTCGTCGGTTTTTGTAGGACGCCGTCTGTTGGACCCAATTGTTCTCTTGATGCGCGTGACGTTCCTGCAACGCACCCGCGCACACCTTCCCCTTGCCGTGAGGAATGATGGAGGGAGGGGTGGATGCTGTACCATCTTTGGCGGTCTACATGCATGCTGTAGTTGGCGCCTGTGACCACGAAAGGTGTCGCGTCAGTCGGATGGACCACGGAAAGGTTTTTTATCTGAAGACAACAATGACAACAACAGACACAAAACAACAACAACAACAACAACGTTAACAAGCTCGTTTATGGTGCTGGCTACTCCTTTTCCCTCCCCACCACTTCCCCCCCCACGCGGAGACGGTCTGCCCCCTTGCCCCACCTTACATATCCCCCGTGCCTTCCCCCCCCCCCCCCGTCCCTCACCGCACCTGTTCGTTAATGGTGTGTCTTGGCGCCACGGTGGTTCCCCCGCGTAATGTGTTTTAGGCGTTGCATGTGTGCACGGTAGTGGAGGTGTTTCTAAGGCTGTACTCGACGTGCGAGCAGCCCGGAGCCAACGGTCTTCACTCTCCGATGGCCGTGGGACTCTTGCAACAGGTGGGTTCATGTCTGATGCTGCTACTGCTGCTGCTGCTGCCGCTGCTGCTGTTGTTTTTGTTGTGATCACTGTAGTGTTCGGTGTCGTTGCTGATGCATCTGTTGTCGGACAACTCAATTTTTGCCAGCTTTTCCTCATATCGGCAACATCGGGCATACTGGCATACTCCTTGTACAGAAGCAGCTTTTTGTCGAAGCGTTGGCGATTACCGAGACAGCGAGCGTGAAATCTGACTCGCTCCTAGGCCAGATTCAAGCTAAGTGTTGTTCGCTTCCGGCCGCTGTTGTGCTCTCTACCGGCGTTATTACGGGAATGAGTTTTTTCGTTTTGCTTGAGACTCCGGTTATTGTGTATCGACAGCATGAGTGACCGTCAGCACTCTGCGACGTCCTACGTTGAGAATGAACGCATCGTTTGTGTTGTTGTCGGCGAGCGCGATTTTCTCCTTTCGCCACGGCTTGCGTTCATGTTTCGCCTCCTCTTCCCTGGCGTGTGCCGCCTTTTCTCTGTCCACAGGCCATATCAGCGGCGTGTTTGGTGGACGACCCCGACCTTGCGGACCGACTGCTGATCGCTTGGCTTGAACGCGCCCACGTTACCCAGGTGACCGCCTTTGTTTTTGCGGTCACTCGTGGTGGTGGTTGTAGAAGTAGGGCTAGAGGAAGAGGTTTTCGTGTTTACAGGGGTGGTGTTTTGTTGATGTGTTGAAATCGCTTGTCACTCTCGACTCGTACCCATTCAGTACAGCTTCGGCCTGACCCGTCACAAGGTGCACAATTGCGAATACAACAAGGGGCAAACGGCGGCGGCACAGAAGGAGTGCTTGTAGTGGTGTCCCGTCCCTGACGTGCGTACCACAAACACTACAACAAACACGTGGTAGTGAGCAGTGAGCAGTACAACAGCGCACCTCCTCCTTCACTTGTGTATACAGCCGCAAATATCATTTTGGAATTTGGGGGAGAGTCTTGGACGCATGCGAGCAAGGCACGCCAGTTGAGCCGCTTGTTTCAGCTCGATTGCTCCGCAGCGAAGAGTGTTCGCATATCAAGCGACAGAGTCTTCGGGACCTGCCAGCTAGAAATCTCATCGAAAAGCAGCATCAAAAGAATACTCATTCATTGTAGTTTTTTCGATACCACCGTTTTGGGTGCAATGGCAGTTGCAATTCCTGCCCTGAGGAAATACCGGTCTTGGAAATTCTTGTCTACGGGGCACCTGCATGTTTTCCGTAGACGGCAAGTGTACGCCAAGTTCGACTACCAGCAGTCCTCAACTCAATCCCGCACGAACAATGTTCTGTAGTTGAAGCAGCGATCGAGTCCGCGGGTGGTGCAACTTCTTGTTTTCTGCCGCACACAGCGAATATTACAGTCTTCGTGCATCTCAGCAACGTTTCTTGTGGTCCTTGCGAGCAGCTGTCCCAGGCGCGTCTGCGGAGCGCCCTACGGATATCGCTGTCCGAGGTTCTCGCGGCCTTTTTCGCTGAGGGGCAAGGGGAGGAGGGCGTATACCGGGGACTGTCGCTGATTGGCCGGTGCCGTGACGCTGGACTACTACCCTATCCCTTCGACTTTCTCGGCGCCATGCGGGTGCGTAGCTGATGTTGGCGTGATCGCCGTTCATTATGTGGTTGTGTACAGAAAAACCTCTTGAGTGCTATATGTCCACCCGGAATTCCAAACTTCAGCGTTCTAGCCCAACCAGTGAGACACGAATCTTAATCTTCGTCTCCAGAAGCGGGGACCAAAGTGAGGTACTTAATTCGACAACCGAGTACATAGTCCCCGAAAGGCCCTGACCTGCGCAAAAAACACCAACACACAATTCTGCATGTGGTTTTTCGTTTGTGTCTAGCCTAGCCTCGGTTTTCTTAGGTAACTGAGGGATGGATGCGACGTGAGTGAATGCTACGGTCTCACCAGGATTTCCTCTGTCGCGATGTGTTGTATTGTATCTTTATGTACCCTGTTTTGCGAAACTTGCCGCATTTCTCTTCGGCTCGTAGGTTCGACTGGTGTTTCCCGCCTGGACGTTTGTTACGTGAACGGTCCCAAGTGCTCACGGCAGTTTTCTCGCTTTTGAAGAGGCCCGAGCTGTCCCTTGTATGCTAGGTTCCCTGGCACGGCACGTTTCCGGCCCACGAAGTATGAATGCGTGTGCTTTTATGCGTCAGCTTACTCTGCTCTCGCTTTCCCTGCTCGTTTCGAACGTTATCCTCAACACCCAACAGGCGTGCAACACGGCAGGGCTTTATGCCACCGCTCTCAGGCTGTTCGACCAGCTCACGGCGCCCGATTCGGGCGACCCTTCGCCAGCGATCGAATACCCCGAAGGTGACCAGAATTACACCGAAGAAACTTCCAACTACCCCGCCGAAAACGGTGCCGACTGCTCCCTTTCGGCGGCCGAGTCTGAATCCGATCCTGATTCGGATGCCGAGATGGGCGGCTCGTTGCCAGCTTCCCCTGAGCAGTCGGTATCCGTAGAACAGCAGCAGCAGCAGCAGCAGCAGCAGCAGCAGCACAACCAGAACCAAAGCGCGAACAGCAACGGGCGCCAAGGAAAGCCGCAGGCAGAGGGGACGCCCGCGGACGACGGTAGTAGCAACCGAGAGGGCGGCGAGGATGACGATGAGCGAGAGGGACAGGCGGGGACCGGAGAGACAGGGGAGGGGTCCAATACCATGAGGTTTGAGAACCTTAATGATATCCCGGACGGGGAGCTGCTTCCAGCGGCCGCCGCCACGATCGCCCTCGAGAGCTGCTTCTTGGGCGGGCGGCGGGACCAGGCCATGGAGATCGTGTGGCAGGCGAGTGTGTGCATGTTTCCTTAAATCAACCGCGCTAGCCCCCGGACCTATGAGCGACGTTCATCTTGCTGTTTTTATCTTCACATCGTACATCGTATACCGGGGAAAAACAAAAGGTCTTCTATGCCAGAGAAACACGCCAAAGCTTCACGCAAGCCCTCGCTCGAACCTACTAAGCCACGATGATGGATGTGTTTGTTCACTCTACTCACGTTGATCGTGCCGGACTCTGACCCGATGGGTTCGCGTGAGAAGGAGGACGAGAGACGGGCGCAGAGGGGAGCAAGGTCAAGGGCAAAAGAAAGAAAAAAATGATGGGCAGAGATATGGAGAAGGTCTTGGGGTTGACCCTTCGAAAGCTCGGAAACGTTTTGTACGATACAACAGCGGCGGAAGAGAGCTTTGTGTTCCGGGAAGTGGGGTCGTACAGGCTTGCTTCTAGCTTGGCCATGGGGTATGACAGTTACGATAGGTCTCTCAAGCCAGGTCGGGCGGGCCGAGGCACCCTGTCCACGGATTTAGTCAACATGTAAAATTTTGTTAGGGAAAATATTAAAATATTGGCTGTGGGCACTTTCGCTATGCGAGGTCCCCCGCAGCACGTCCGACATCGTCATCCGAAATCATGCATTTTCTCGTGCACGCTTGCCCACGCCGCTCGTTTGTACTTCCGCAGCTGATCCGGCGGCGTCACCCCCTTACCGAAGCCTGCCGCAACCGGGCGATCGTCGCTCTCACCTCGGCGGGGCACCCGGACATGGCTCTTGACATGGCGAGAGGGATGGAGCAAGACCGACATTACGCTGACCGCGCCACTGTAGAGTTCGTCGAAAGGTGCGCCGCAGCTTGTGTGTGACTGATTGAATAGTTCGATTTGATTTTTCAACTTGTCAACAGCGGCCGATTTGTTCCCTTTCGGGTGATTGGCAGCATTGTTGTAGAATTGGTACGGTGTGAAGTCCTCACCATTTGAGAAGGAGAAAGTCCTGATGCCAACAGTGTTGTTCACTCCGATCTCACATCTTGTGCTCTCCACGGAGAAGCGGCACGTCTTTTCAGCTTGCTGTTTTGAGATCAGTCTTCGGGCGGCTAATTGTCTGGCGATGTGGATCAGCACCGATTGCTCCAGTCAAGACATGCCGAGCGGCACCAGCGTAGCTCATCGACTTGAACGGAAAATGCACACACTGGAACCTTCTTGAAGGTGTTTTCGTACGTCGACTTGAAAGGAAAATGTGCTCACTGGCGCCTTCCTGGAGGTATTTCGTATTTTGGACACGAGCTGGTATTCCTCCCCCTACTGACGTTGAGTGGCTCCATGCAGGTTCGAGAAATGGGCGTTCGACGCAGCGGAGTCGTACGACCAAGCACAGGAGGAGAGAGAAGAACAGAGGGACGAATCGGACGAGGACGATAGAGACGACGACGACGGGGACGACGATGATTGGGAGGAAGAAGAGGATTATGACGAAGGTCACGAGGATGAGCGTGAGACTGCTGCTGTTGGTGAGTCTGATGCTGGCGATGCTGATACTGGCGATTCCGATACTGGCGACGAGTTGGTCTCATCACAACCTTCGCTGTCGGCGTCGTCATCATTCACCGCACGAGATCGCCATGGCGGCGGCGGCGGCGGCGGCGGCGGCGTCAGCAGCAGTGATCGGCCAGCAGAGCTGGTCCTCCGCTTCTTGCCGCTGCTATCCGAGGCTCTCCGCAGCAAGCTCCGGCCAGAGGAAGATGGAGAAAAGACCGCCCAGGTTGACAGTGCAGAAGCGGAGAAGGAGGACAATGCTACCGCACCAAGTAGACCACAATCATAGTAGTTGCACTCGATTCGAGAGATGTTTGCCTAAAAGTTGCCAAGTCATTGGACCAGGGTCATGTGCGAAAGACTTCTGTCTCTGCCGTATACTTTTGCGAAGTTCCCGGTTTTCCAGAGGTCGTCCACACGATGTTCGCAGTAGTAAGCGTTGTTGATGTTGGTCGGCGAAGTCGTGTGTGCAAGAGGGGGGTGGGCCTCAGACAACTTTGTCGGTGTTCAGTAGTGTCAAAAGGGCGGTGTTGGCAAGGTGCTTAGCTGCTTGGTTCACATGATGTAAAGAGATATGATTCGATAGCCGAAGCTCTACTTGTACAATAAAAAATAAAGGGTTGCGGATAATAGAACGCCGCATCGACCCGACGCCTATGGGCGTGATCTGAAGAAAACAAACAGATAGCCCTTCGCTGACGCTATGGATTCATTGCTAATCTATCGTAGACTTTTTTCTGTAGATAGAGATGGATATTGTGTCATAGTAAGAAAAGAAAAAACAAAAACACACACACACACACACACACCCGAACTCGAGAAGCGGAAAACCGTCACATACAGAAGCCGCCCATTGTTCCACAACCAACCTCTGCCCCAGCCAGGCCAAAACTTAGCCCAATCAAGGTGTTGCTCAAGGTTAGCAGAGAACGCACAAGGGACCAACACCACAACATGAGGCCGCCCACTCAAGTGTGCTTCTGCGGATCAGGCCAATCCACCCTCCGGTTGGACATGACATGCAACCCCCGCATTCTCTCACCCAACATCGGAGGCTCCTCCGTATGGAGCCGGCATGGTCGGCCTTCTCGAGCTACAACTAAGGCTGGCTAGTATCACGTAAGTTTTCCGGGAATTCCTCCGACAACACGCGGACACGCGCCCCCTTCCTCCAGGGGTTTCGCACTCAGCAACCCGCGCCTTGTTCCTGAATCTCCCGCCAAGAGCCTATCCTGACCAGGCGGTGTTGATGACACTTTCTCCGCACCGTCCAGGGGAGCGTGCACCCACTGAAATCCATCCTAGGTGGAGAGTAAATCAGGCCAAAGTCGCAGAAGTCCTTGCCCCTCCCTCCTCGGCACGTGGAGCCCAGGTGCAGCTTCGCCTTCCCCATGGCACTTGCTCCAGATTCAACCCCCCTCGCTCACCTAGAGCCCCGACACGGCGCTACCCGGCGGGACCCCTCCGCCTCCGAGCAGAACTGTGCGCAAGGTCCTGGGCATCGGTTCCTTGCTGAAGTTGGAGCCGGACAGCAGCTTCCCCCTGCTGGGCAGCCCGAGGATGGTCTCCTCCTCCACGTTGGCGGCCATCAACACGGCTTTCCTGTTCGGGTTGAGGACCAACCGCCGGCATATCCGAACGTGGTAACATCAGACAGTTAATGGAGGAACGTTGGCGGAGGACAGACGTTTACAGATGTGCCCTCTCCCTCCCCCGTATAGTTTCGTCCCTTCAGATGACTACCAACACTTACACACGAGACGTTACCTCTTTTAATAGTGATACACGCGGGCGAGACAAAGCATGACCGCCATCAAAGGGAGGCTTGGAACATGCTTCAAACACCCCAAGTCCGGAAGAAGACAACAACGGAGCAAATCGCAAGGATATGTACAGAGCCTCACCCAATGGCGTCCTCGACGTCCACGATGGACCGCACAGCGCTCACCACCCTACGCTTTTCGTTGCCAAGGTCCACGACAAGAGACAAATACTTTCGGCTGGGCTTGTTTCCATGGTCGGGGTCCGGGATCAACTCGGCCAGAACGATACGCCTGGCGACGGGAAACGCGACGCACAGCAGTAGCAGTATCGACCAGCAGCGGAAGGCATTGACACGTACGGCGGTGCAAAGGGGGTGCACGACAGGGAGCCTCTGCCACAAGCGGGGTGTATTATCTTGATCAAAATCGGGTTCACCGCACGCGCGGCGCAAATATCGTCAGAAAGCGTCGGTCAGGTGGAGTCGACATGATGCACGCTGCCTTTGATCGACAGGCATCTGTGTACAGATGCATAGCTATGAAAAACCAGGGCTGTCGATACCGCAACATCACGCCTGGAAAAATAGATGTCACCCTTTGAAGAAACTAGGGGACACACGAGTGTCGCCGTCTGAACACGGTCACACACCAGAAGCGCTTGCAAAAGAGTTGCTTGCGCACACCTCGTACACAGAGCGGTTCACACGATTATACTTTTATCGCGATCGCCTGATGGCAATTCCTGCCGTAGCACATCCGCGCCTCATGCACGACAGGTGAGACTGAAGTCCAACACAGGCGGACATCACAAACATCAATGTCTTAACTCACCCAACCCGAATATCGAGAGCCTCGAAATCCGCAATGGCCACGGGGTCCTTGAGTTTCGGCACCTGTATATGCGACACCCGCCCACATGTGCGCAAACGCAAATCAGTGATGGTAACAACCAACGCAAGAGGACCGGGTCGATGAAATGCGAAAATCCTTACGTACGTGTCTGGGCAAAACACTGGCGCAGGAAACAGATGCATGTTTGTCCATTTGGATGTGAGTCCTACTCGACAATAAAAAAGCTGGCATCCTTCGGGTTGGTCAGGCGTGACCAACGCCTCTCGCTGCGAGGCAAGAAATGGGGCAGTTTCACGTATTCGGTACGCAAGGAAAACAACAGAAGTCGGCAGGATCCGGCAGCACAAACAAGGCGAAGAGCTCACCTAAAAAAACTATCAATCTCATCAGGCCCGACCCACAACATAAAAAATTACATTGAATCTCGGTGCAAAATTGACGTTTCGTATCTCCCGACGCCATCGGCACATCGACTAAAGTGTCCCGGCGCAATCGTTTCGCTGAACTATTGCACGATCAGAGGAAACCCACGTCCTCCATGTTGGAGATCTCTTCCGCAGCAGCGTGTGACACCGCCATCATCATCGTCCCTGTCCTCCCAGATCGCTCCCGTTGCCGTTGTTGTTGCTGCCCCGTTCGCTCCAATCCATCGAGGGAACTTCGGCATCGAGCTGCTGCTGTTGTCGTCGGTACTTGTCGTGTGTAAGGACTAGAGGAGGCGACGAAGGCTTCGCAAGTTCGTGTGGTTGTTGCGGCAAACAGGAGCAGGGCTGCACATGCGTTGGAGAGTGCCGACATCATCTGCGACAGGCGGTGGGGGGGGGGGAGAGTGAGGGAAGAACGAAAAAGGTAGTTGTCTTGTCGGATCATTAGAAGGAGCGACGGAAGAAAGCTTTCGCAACTCTGGTGTGGTTGTTGCAGATACACTGCTGTAACAACAGGAACAGCAGTGCTGCGCATGCGGAGTGCCGACATCATCTGTGAAAGGCGTGCGGGGGGGGGGGGGGGGGGGGGGGGGGGA